ACACCAAAGAAAGAGCGGTTCTGATGGTGACCAACTACCAGGGTCCACCACACCCTGTTGAAATAATTTTTGTGTTTCTCAAATGTATGAGGTTTCAACTAGTAGTTTGGTGGGAATAGGAGTTGGGACCATTTGTTTTGCCTTAGTTGGTCCCAATACCCCCACAACCAATTTAAGTTCTCTCCTATGCTGTTTTTACAATACCATGATGCAACAAACCAAGTAGACATTGTTCCTATCCGAAGCTTCATGCCAAAAATAAATGAAGAGAAAAGTCAGGTGCTTTAATGCTGTGCAGGACACCCGTTAGGTTGAGAAATGGCCACGCATCGTTTGACACAATTTTGTGGTTGTAAATACATGCAAACTTGTGACGGGGTTATTGTTGTAAATGTGGTGATTTTTGGGGGGCATAAAGTAATAACAATGGTCCATAACAGTAATTTTTGGGGGGGGCCTCTTTTTGTGTTGTTGGGTGTGGGGTACCTAATAATAATTCAGAGGATAGGATGCACGTTGTGAATAATAAAGATGAGTACACCACTTTGACGGATGCTGACTCTCTACATCAATTTGTTCCCATGTTTGCCTAAATTTAGAATTGACTTGTTTCAAATTCATTCATCAATTTTACTTTTTCAGCTTTTTAACAAAGACAATTGTTAATAGGTATTTTAATGAGTAGGCACTTTTTTTATGTAACCAATAAGATCTAGGACAGACGGTAAATTGTTGGATATCTTAAATATGTTATTAGGTATTTGTTCTTTTGTATGGAGAAAATTTTAATTATTAATAATATGCTTAATGCAAACTGAAAATAACACTCTTTGGTTCAAGAGAGAAAAGGAAAAATAAATTAATGAAGTGAAAAAGGGATTAAAAGTACCCTTTGTTTGGTATGGTCAAAACTGGAGAATTATATCCATGTAATGTAAATTTCAATAGAGGTCGGGGCGAAAATAAATAAGATCGAGCGGGCAATTTATCATGCATGAAAATTTTTATTAACTGTTCTATATTATAAGAATAAAAAATACTAATTTTGTGTATATTAAGTAAATTAGTTATCTGTATTAAATCTTATTAATTTTGCAATATTCTTTTTAAATTGTTCTGATTATAAATGTGAAAAGAAGTAATATAACTGAAAAATGGTAAATTCTCTGACGGACCATTTAAAGAAGTGGTGC